AGTGAGGTGAGGCCCATTGCAGTTTTCACAACCCACCTGAATAGCATGGATCGTTTGATCCATTTTATCCATTCTCCTATCCATGGTTTTTAGCATAGCCATGACCGCGGATAATTCTTCAGTAGCAACATAAGCGGCTCCCCTAGTGACATCATGTCTAGGGTTATGGTATTCTATAGAGTGTTTAGAGAATTCTTCAATCAATTCTTTAATCATCGGGGGCGGCTTCTTTGTAAGTGGGCCTTGCGAGTCTAGTAGCTGCCTGGTTGTGACATTGACTCCATCATAGAAGATGGAGACTTCTTGCTGGCTATTTAGATCATGGTGTGGGCAATTTCTTAGCAGACTCTTGTACCTCTCTCATGCTTCATATAGCGACTCTCCAGCTTGTTGTTCAAAGTTTGCAATGGCCTTCTTCAGCTTGGCTATCTTAGAAGGTAGGCAAAAGTGATCAATGAATTCTTCCTTCATCTTGGCCCAAGTAGTGACTGATCCGAGGGGAAGTGACTTGAGCCAGTCTTTGGAAGCACCCTTGAATGTTACCGGAAGCATACAAAGTAGTTGAGTCTCACGGGTTACATTTGGAATATTGAAGTAATCAGCTACATCATTGACTTCATCCAAATGCTTGTAGGCATCTTCATGATCTTTCCCATAAAAAGGTATTTCTTTGAGTGAAGCTAGGATATGACACTTTAGCTCGAAGGTAGCAGTCGCGGGAATTACGGGTTGCACAAGTCCCGGGCCATTGTCGTCGTGCATCCTCTTCTTCCATTCTCCCATGGGGATTTCATCAATGTTAGCCATTGTGAAAGCTAACTCTTCCTCGGACTCGGTTTCATGCTCGTACGTAGGCTCCTCTTCTTCATCGGTCTCGTACCCGATATCTTCTGGAATTGGTTCTTTGATTATCATAGAGGCGCTAGATGCTCCTGATTTACTGCTCTTCTTTTTCCCAAAAACGGTCTTCAAGTTGGACAAAGGTGACTTCTTTGGTGTACTTGAACTCTCCACGTCCTTTCCTTTGTTCCTTTTCAATGCGAATTCGGGATCTTCAAACGAGGGTACCAGTGGTGTGTTTGATCCTCTGGTCACGAAAGTCCTAAAATAAATAGAATAAAAGCGTAAGAAGAACAAAAATAAATGTACTAAAAAAATTAAAATTGACTGCTAAATAAACTGCTACTCGCTGAGTAGGTGCGACTGCACTCGGCGAGTATCAGTGATATTTTTAAAAAAAAAATTCTAAACTTAATACTAAAACTAAAACAGATGCTAAAACCTAATTACTAATTACTAAATTGCAATAAATGAACTCTATGCAAGTAAACTCACACAAAGGATCGAAAAAATTAGGAATTAGATTAGTTATTTAGAACCGTTCCCCGGCAACGGCGCCAAAAACTTGATGTGTGTAAAATGCACTTGTTTTATCCCTACTTGTTATTAATAAATTTAGCACACAAAGGCAGTGAACCTGTCTTTTAGTGGTATAGATTAGTAAGTAAGGTGTCGAACTCAGGGAACGGAAAATTAAACTAATAACTAATTTTAACTAAAACAACTAATAAAAGTAAAAGGGGTTTCTTCTAGTTTTGCAAGACTAGAAACTTAGGCACACTAAATTAACTAAATAACTAAAGCAACAACTATTCACCAAATTTGATAAAGATGTTTCTATTTAGGTTCAACCAATTCACTCCTATGGTTATTTGTATTTATGATAGATTAATTGCTATTGGTTACCAATTATAATGGTTAGGTTCATGTTCATTACTCCTAACCCTTAGACAATTAACTAATTTAAGCGGTGATCAAGTGTTTAAACTAATTAATTCCCTAGATTAATGATTTGGATTAAATAAGATTTGTAATGGTCAATTAAGTTACTAATTCAATTAACCTCTTGTTTGATGGTTTCTCAAACAAGCTCACACATTAATCTTCCTATTGTCTTATTAATCTTAGTTTCATAATCATTACTTCTAAGCATATGGTTTAGTGTTCACATAGACATATGAGGTTAACAACTAAGAGATGTTCATGCAGCCTAATTGTCTTCCAATTAACAGAAAATAGTAGTGATTAATGCATAAGGTTCTTTAACAAACTTAATTTAATAGATCACCAATAAACAATCAAACAGAAACTAATAATTAAACCATAGGAGTTCCTTGGTATTCCCCAAACAGAAACAAAAACGAATTTAGTTCATAGTTGCAGTAGAAACAAACATAAAAACAAGTTTTACTAGATCAAACATATTCAATTCCTAAATCTAAGTGGTAGGATTAACCTATTTGCTTGAATTCTTCAAAAGATTGAAGCTTAGGGTTCCTCAGCGTCTTCTAGGGCTCTTAGTCGCAGCTTGACCTTCAAAAGTCGCCAGGAATGTTGCCCCATTCGATAAATATTCGGTTTTTATAGATATCTCAAAACAGGGTGTACTCGGCGAGTAGGAGGACCAACTCGCCGAGTAGGTGCATAGTTATCCGTCTTGAATAAGGAATCGTAGCTATCTTTTGGAACATCCTCGTGTACTCGCCGAGTAGAGTCGTCTACTCGTCGAGTAGGTGGTCTTTTGTCTCTTATTTTCATTCTTTGGTCTTCAATTGCTTCCCCTTGCTCCCTTTTACTTCCAAGCATGTCTTCTGGACTGAAAACAAAATTCAAAACATTTTAAGTACCTTTTGTCCACATTATTCACATAATTAATTAAAAATGATTAAGAATATGTGCTAAATAATTAACTAATTATGCACATATCACTCTTAAAGGTCTCTCCTTGGAAAGGAGTGATACGATTCAGGAAGAGGGGCAAGTTGGGACCTCGATATATTGGACGTTTCAGGGTAATCGCTAGGGTAGGAAGGGTAGCCTACCGGTTGGATCTACCTGCTGAGTTGGGTCAGATCCATGACACCTTTCATGTGTCGCAGTTGAGGAAATGTATTGCCGACGAGTCGGCAGTGGTACCATTAGATGATATTCAGGTGGATGCAGGCCTGAACTATGTTCAGAGACCAGTGGCAATTAGGGATCGAAGGGTTAAGGTTCTGAGGAACAAGGAAGTAGCCTTGGTGCAAGTGAAGTGGCAACATCGGAAGGGGTCCGAGCTGACATGGGAGTCCGAGTCTGAGATGCGGGAGCAGTATCTGGAATTGTTTCGGTATAAGACTTCGGAGACGAAGTCTGGTTCTAGTGGGGGAGAATTATAACAGCCCGAAATCCAGGTACCTTTAATTAGACCTTCATCTTTAATATATTGTCATTTGGGTTTTTGTGTTGAGCGAGTACGCTGGGCGTACAAGGAGTACGCTGCGCGTACTCACGCGCCTCATTTAATCGCAACATCACCCGGGTACGCTGGGCGTACCCAAGGTTACGCTGGGTGTAACCGGTCCAGACCCAAAAACCCTAATTTAATGGTTGGCTATAAAAGGAATGAGATATCTTGTTCCTCAGCCACCATCCTTCAGAAAGAACCCCTAAGAGAGTTGTGCCTTCGTTCATAGCTTGTTTGTGACTGTTCTAAGCTTGGTGGTGTCATTTCAAGGTAGCAAAAGAGAAGAGGAGTCCATTGTGGAGGCTAGAAGTTGGTGTTCAAGTGTAGATCCGTGAATAGTAAAGTTTGGAGCTTCTTTCTAAGGTAAAAAGTTCGGATCTTGACTTGTAGTTCTTGTGATATGCTTTATGGACCATTTTCTAGGGTTTTGGTCCCAAAGATGGAGACTTTATGAGCAAGTAGCCTCCATTGGCTTAGATTCGTCATATTTCTGGTCCATTTGAGTTGTAGATTCATACAAATGTAATCTTGGAGGTGAATGATTAGCCATGCATGAGATCTAGATCTTTTGATTTGAAATAGAAAGGAATTAAGGAGTGTAGGAGCCTTTACAGCCATGCCAAGGCTTAAAGGTTTCGACCTTATGGGTAAGGAGGCGTAAAGAGAGCCGGATCTAGAAGTTGAAGTAGTGTCTTAACCATTTAAGACCAGGAATGAAGAGTGGCTAGATCTGAGCATTATGCTAGGCGTAACTCCCAGTACGAGCGGCGTATTGGGTGGAGACCCCCGATGGTGGATTAGCGATGTACGCCCCGCGTACATGAGTCTGTACGCCTCGCGTACTGTGAATGTTGACTTTTGTTGACTTTTAGGGTTTTGGTCAACATATGGACTTTGAGTCAAGGAAGGGTAAAATGGTCTTTTACCCATCTTAGGAATGTTAATAAGGGTAAAGTCTAGTTGTGGAAGTCTATATTAATTAAAATGATATTTCGTTATGATTAGGCAGGGTTGGGATTCGGAGATAGCGAGCACGCAAGATTTTAGACTTTCCACGAGGTAAGTTTTCTCACTATACTGTACCCGGAAGGGTTTTATTGTGTGACCGGAAGGTCGGATATGTTATGAGTTGTATGCATTGTATATGATAAGTTAACCGTTTGTATGTGCTATTTATGCTATGCTTGATATGGGCTGGAAGGCATTATGTTATGGGCCGGAAGGCGTTGTAATGTGGACCGTAAGGTTAATGCGGGTAGGACCGGAAGGTTTACCGAGTCGGTACGGAAGTCCCCTGAGACACATGGACCGGAAGGTCAGGGCCCGGAAGGGCATATGTGCGTAAGTAGTATTTTGGGGAACTCACTAAGCATTTATGCTTACAGTTGTTGTGTGTTTCAGGTACTAACGAGGATTGTGGGAAGGCGCCGACGTGATCTGTACACACTGACGGAAGAATTGTTTTATGATCTTGGGATGTATTTTGTTATGATGACATTGTTATACATGTGATTTCAGAATATTAAATGATGGTTTATGTTGTTTGAAAAATGAAAAATTATTTTGAAAATTCACGTTGTTACAATTCCACTCTTAGATACCCACAAAAATCACTTCTTCAACTATTGATTATCATCAAAGAATTCAGTTTTTCAATCAAGAACTGAAAGGAGGAATCAGAGCCCTCAAGTAGGGTGAAGTTTCCTCTTGAAAAATGCTTAGTATCTTCAACAAAACCTCCGGTGACTCTGCTCAAAGTTTCGGTGGCCGGTGCGCCGCCGTGCAAAACCGAAAGTCATTATCAAAAGGTTCGGGAAATTGAATTCCAAAACTCAAGATATATCAAACACAAATGGGTCAGCCACAATTCATCCAAATAATCATTTGGGAAAATCAGAAACCCTAATCCGAATCGCAACTTTTAATGTCGCTTTGTTCTCCATGGCACTAGTAGTTTCAGAATTGACTGAAAAAACTTCAAGCTTTGACTATGGAGAAGACAAACAAGATTACAGTAGTAAGGTACCATCAAATTGCTCTGTTTCTTACACCAATTCAAGATCAAAATCAATGATTGATCGTCCCAAAAGTATATTAAAGCAATCACCATTGCATTCAAGCAGCTCCATGAGCAGTTCAGAAACTGTATCAAAACAGCAGAAATTCGCAGAATCAAAGCTAATAGTTTCAATCAATTTACCCGATAATGAGATCTCACTGAAGCGAAGTAGGCATTTAAGCTTCGCCATAGACGAAACGGAAGAAGGCCCGAGTTCAAAAAATATTAATTCGAAATGTATAAGTAGGATTTTGAAAAGGAAAGGTGTTTTAAGATCACAAAACAGTTTTTATTCAAAAGAATCTGAAAATCAAAGAGGGAAATGTTATAGGTCAACGAAAACTTTTCTTGAAGTTTTGAAAGAATTGGATGCAGATATATTAGCTTTACAGGATGTTAAAGCAGGAGAGAGAGAGAGAGAGAGACCTTTTCTATAATAAATAATAATTTTTTTTTTTAATAAGGGCAAAACTTCAAAAATGGTCTATGTAATAGTGAAAAGACAGAAATGCCCTTCACTTAACAGTCAAAAGCTAACAAAGTTAGCAAAAAGGACCATTTGGTAAAAGTTTTGAAACCACAGGGACCATCTGTGAGGTTTTTTGAACTCAGGGACTAAATTTGATATTTTTGAAAACCACAGGGATCATTTTTGAAGTTTTGTGTATTTTATATAACACTCATACCTTATAGATTTTAGCCATTTTATTTTCACCCAATACTTTTCTTAGAAAAAATTTATTCTTTTATTTAAAACCTATTATTTTTTTAATACCCATTTTTACCGAAATCATCCCCTATCCTAATAAATAAGTACTTTTTTTCTGTCAAGGGTCATTCTCTAAGCCCTCTCTAATTTATATTCCCGCTCATTTTTTCAAAGTGAAATTCTTAAATTATCCCTCTCGCCCTTATATACCAGTCAAATACTTTCCCCTTCAATTTTCATATTTCAATCTGAAAATCAAGAATTTATCTTCTAAATCTTCAGTCTTCCTCAAATCTCGGTCCCTTGATTAGCTGTGATTTGGGTTTCAAAATCCCTATTTCTCTCCCTTCAATTGTAAAATCAGTCGCCCCTTTAATATTTCAACATTCTTGCTTTGTAACCTCTAATTTCCATCCGACTCCTTTTCTTTGATCTTTTTGGTAAGCTTCGATGGCGGAACAAGAGGAGGAAACGATGGCAAAATTTGAAGTGGATGACAGACCGATTGGGAGAGAGAAGAACATCAATCGACCAGGGTCTTCCACCACCTCTCTCGCTGCCGCCTCAAGCAGATATCGCTCTTCTCAACATAGGTGACAATCGAACGACCGGTGACTCAACGGATGACCATTGACCCTAACTGCCATAAGGTGATTTGAATGAAACATTAGGGTTTTTTTTATACCAAGTATCACTTAAATATTTTTGGAGACATCGACATCTGTTCTTCATTTTTTATCGAACCCAAAATCCTTCTTCCCCCAAAAAGTAAGTTCTTCACTCCAATTTGTAGTTGAATTTTGTTGATTCTGTCTAAATTGACATTTTTTCATTACATCCAATAATTTTCCTTATATTTTTTTTACAACAGGTAATGTTTTCACTTTGGATGTGAATGAAGATTATTAAGATTTTATATAATGGTAATTAGATGTATACCCTGTTTGTGAGTTGATATAGAAGCCATACTTTTGCTTTGATGAGTTAAGTGAAAAAAAAATACAGAGATACTTGATAATAGTAGAGAGGTAGATGCAGCGAAATTAATAAGGTAGTAGACTATGAATACTGTGAATCCACCATGCATTGAACTTGGCTTTAAATTATAAATGGGTGGTGGACTGGGTACAATTATGTTTTTTACATCCTTACTTCTAAACACGGTAAGCAACTTACACTTTTGTTCTCCATTATGTAAATGTAAGTTGTCAATTTATCTCACTAAGTTTGCTAGTGTTTCTGCTCAATGAAGCACTTAGTGTGATAAGCAGAAATATCTATGCAATCTGGAGAGAATTATTGTACACCAGAGAGGATACACGGTGAAGGCGAAGTTTTATCACAATCTGTTGCTGTCGGATGCTCCAATTTGGTTGATTTTCCCTTAGGCAAAATATGGACGATTATACCCCTGTTTACAAAATGGATGGTCTGAAAGATTGTCAATATCATTGGATGGTAATTTGGTGAATGTTAAAGATTAGGTTTAATTTGAAGGCGTTGGAAGTATCAAAAAAAAGTGCTAATCACCCGATGAAAGTTTTGGACAATTTTACCCCAAGGTTAGTATGAAGACATAGTTTCTACATGCTTCTATTTACCATCAGCAATTCATTGTTTCTGTTGGGTGTCGATGGGGAATCAAATTGATATTATCACAACCATGGAAATACATTGCTATTATTTGGATATTTAACTTCAAGTCACAATAAAGATGTTGCAAGTTTTAATGTGTTGTGTCCTCAATGCTATGGTGCTTGGTGATTTTGGTGTTCCCTAATTCATCCGGTGCTTAAAAAAACGAGCTAAATGATAGATTAATCATTTAATGTATCAAAATTATTAAATTGCTTATCATTTTTTCACTGTTTTCTTAGTCGTTGTATATGGAAAACTCAATGTCCCTGTGTTCCTTTAACTTTCATTTTTCAACAATCAACTATTTGATTCAAATATTTTTTTAAATTACTAAAAAAAGATATTAAAATGCTATACAATTGTGATTGAGCAATTATAAACTCAAATATTATTTTATATTAAAAGATTGTTTTTTTTTTTTTTTTTTTTTTACTTTGTAATATTAGGTAAATTTTATTAGTACGTTGGTTACCAAATAATAAAAACTTATGTTTTTTAAATTTACTACAGTTATGTATATTTTTGTAGCAATTTTTTAGATACAAATTTTATTAAAAAAACGTTATGTTTGTGGCTTTTTAAGCTTGGAACGCCTTAAATTTTAACAATTTTTGTTATCCACTTTTTTTTTTCCTACATCCTCATTTTCATAGATATAGGGCGAAAGAGAAAAGATAAATATAAACTTTAAAATAGGAAAAAAATCATGATAGTCGATCTACCAACTTTAACACATTTCTTAAATGGTCTCTATTTGCTTTAAAAAATGACTCGATAGACGAGGATTTATTAAGACACTATACTTTAAGGATCCTACCTAACTATAACAATGTAGTTACAAGCTTTCGATTAGTACACTGTAGGTTTAACAATAAAGCAACATACTATCAAATGTTTGTTTTTTTATAATACCTTAAATTCATTCCCTTATACTACATCATTGTACTTCCTCCTTCAACTATAGCTAAATTACATTTTCTAGGCTACATTTTTATTTATATAAACGATTATGAATTTTGTTGTTTATTATTTTATAGCAACTCACATCAATTTTTGGTGACAATCGGGTCACACATTGGAGACAAAAATTGCTAAACGAATGTTTAACAATAGATTTTATAAAATAAACGATGATTTCATCAATTACACAACATCAACTCATTTGTATCTCATCATATTACACTTCTTTTGCAATTTCAAATATTTTTGAAAAAAAAATAATCACCGAAAGGAAACTATTTGTCGCAATTGTAGTACGCAACTACATACCTAACTTGCAACTAATTAAATCTAATTCGCATGTTACAATATATTACAATCTAGATGGTATTTGAATTTTCATTTCTAAGTTTTTATTTATATACATAGATTTGCATTTGGTTGCTATTTGTTTTATACCAAGTCATTCACTATTTATTACCTATATTATTTCGTTTATCAATGTCATTTTCATTATTGATTGTGTTTTTGTTTACATTTTATTCAAATTTATATTATGTTTGTGTTTACAATTTATTCAAATTTATATTATGTTTTGTAAATCATATTCATATTAAGAGAAAAAATAAGGGTTAAATACAAGAATTGCCGATCATCTTTTCATTTTTTTTCTTAGTATTGGAATATACTTTTGTTTATTCTTATTATAGCATTGTATTTTCATTTAAAATTTATTACATCATTATATATTGAAAAGTCCATCAATCTTGACCATGATTTTTTTAGTTTTATTTTAACAGTAATATCATATTTTATATCGGTTGTGATTGAGTTACTGATAAAATTCCCTAAAATTATACCAAAAGGGTTAAACAAAATGAAACAAAACAAAATTTTCAACCTCAATTTCCTATAGAAACCAAAACGTCTTATAATAATTGAACAATGAAGCTCTATATTTCTATTGAAATCTTACAAATTTGCATTTTAAAGAACAGATTTAGTTCCAAAACCCACCTTTCAGAAAAGAAGAAAATTTTAATTTGAGGTTTTAAGAGGGGGGGGGGGGGGGGTTTATAGCTCTTGAGGATCATCAGACATGAAAACATATTAATTTTGTTATCTTATGTTAGGAACCTATGTATTTTTGTAGTATTAAGTTATTAACCCATGTATCACCGTTGTTAATACATCAGATTTTGTAAATAAATTAATGATTTTAAATCATGGAATAATGACTATTAGTTTTATAGCCTATATAATATTTTACTTTGTAGCCCGTAGAAACCACGGGTTATAACCTAGTTTCACAATAGTCTGAAGCTTCCTTCATGAAGATTCCAACTAATTCATATTTTTATTTTGAAGAGGGCGTTCTATCAAGTTTATATCTAATGACCAACATTAACATACTTTTCCAGATCCAAGATTCAAATCTACGAACTCTTTCTTCAATCCTGAAATATGGCTACTTCTTCAAGAAAATATTTTTTTGAAGTACGAAAGACCGACATGTTTTTAATCAGCAATGTTCGGATCCATAATTCAGTATGTATCAACAATCCGACTCAAATCAACACTTCGACTTGCATCATCAGCTCGTTACGCGCCAACATGCACTATGCGCATCAATAGTGACCTCTATCAGTAGCGTTCTTCAGTTATCATTAAATTTGTCTAATCAACATAATTCATTAATAGTGTTATGTCAACAATGTAACACACATCAATAATCTGCTTCAGAAGTCCTAGGTTAACAATGTTGGTCGTTAGCAGTTCTTCAGTCCAATAGTGATTTTACTAGTCATCTTTTCTCAAGTTTATCTATGTTTATATGATCAAGTACAACAACAGAATCAATCGACTACCATGACCTTGGAAGTATTAATATACTTTATCTCATGTTCTTTTTCGAGACCTTTCTCACATTTAGAGGAACATGTGAATCTCTTGGTATGTGGGATTATCTTACATGTTTACTTCTGATCTTCATTGTATTGTCGATCAAAAACAGGTAGAGCATGTTATGTGCGTCCATATATGAATTTACATGTTGTTTGAGCCTGGCTTTTTGAGACTTTTGAAGATGGTGATTTTATTTCGTGATGTAATGTGGTACTGACTTTTGGTCATCACTGATCAAAGTTTTGGCCTCACTAAATTTATCCCGAATCCAGAGTATTTATATAGTGATGAGATGTGGTACTAATTTTTAGCTATCTTTAAACAAATTGTGGGCCTCACTAAATTCATCTAGACTCTACAATGGGATGCTTCATACTTTAAGTATGTTCTCTTGAAGATTTAATGGGTACTTTATGATTTGCTAGGACAATGGGATGCTTCATACTTTAAGTATGTTCTCTTGAAGATTTAATGGGTACTTTATGATTTGCTAGGACTTCTTGAAGGCAAAGATATTTCAGTTTTTTAACACCATAATTGTTTTCTGGATATTATGTATTTTTACCTCTACTCAATGTATTTTTATCCCTTACAATTTCCAAGCATTTAGGGAGAGATTATTAGAGCAAAAAAATACTCTATAATGTTGAGTGATAGTTAAGTTATTATTTTTATATTTATAGTTTAGAAGGAAACGTTTCTTTATAAGTAGAGTGGAATGATCATTTATTTTGTGTGTTAAAAAATGTAGTTTTTATCCGGTTAGAGAGAATGGGAGAGAGAAATATTCCCCATCCTCAGAGTTTTTCATTGTAAGTTTGCTATCTTTTTATAAAAAGATTACTCATATCTTCTGCTCGTCATTTTCATAACAATTAAACTTCACCTTATTGTTATTTTTGTATTACCCGGTCAAAATGGGTCCAACATGAAGAAGTTCAATGAAAATTTTAGCAAGATTGAGATCGTTGGTCATTACAATGTATCGGTCATGGTGATGGTTAAAGCTTTGTAACATGTGTTGATTTTGATGTGGTCATGCCATTTTCAAGAGTGGCGTGGGTGATGCTAGTGATTTTTGTTGGCTAAGATTGAAGGCTTGATGTGACATTATCTTTGAGTGTTTCGAGTTTGCTAGTGATTTTTGCAGTCTTGAATTTTGATGTAATTTGCTTAGTTTTTGGCTATCTATGATTATTTAGGGCCTTAAAACGTTTTTTTAATGGTTTTCTAAATTTTTTAAATTATATGTTTGATTTAAATAATTGTTTAAGAATATTCTATAATCATTTAGTGTTTTGGTTTATAGAAGAAGCTCATTTTTTCTTCTATCTATAAGTCTTTATGTTGTCAATGTTTGGAGAGTTAGAATTTTATGTTTGAATATCTAAATTGGAATTCTGTTTTTGTTCCTTTTCTTCATTCGAGTTATAAACAAATCGTTTAGATATTGGTACCAGTAAATCTGGAACGAGAATTTTGGATCGTATGGTGTTTGATGTGGCTAGACGAAACAATAATAATTTCATTTCAGTCATTGTTACAAAAACAATATTTTTATTGGTGGTAGGGACTAAAGATGCAATAAAACCAAACAATAGGGATTGCTCACGTTAAAAAAAAAGATTTAGCACTAACCATGTAGATTATCCCTAACCCAGACCTGTCCCATAGGGTTGACGATAGACGCTACCGTCTAGGACCCATCTTTTATATCGGCCCAAAATTTTTGAAGGAAGTCATTATATATATATATATATATATATATATATATATATATATATATATATATATATATATATATAGTTAGGTTCATTTGATATCACCTATATTTTGTGAGACTGTGAGACATATTTTTTTATTTTTTTTTATTTACTTTTAATTTTTTTAAATTTTTTTTAGTTAATTCAAGTTCCAAAAATAATATTTAAAAAAATAATTTTTGGATTTTTCCATTTATTTTGCATTTTAAAATTATTTTTTAGAATATGTACAGTGTAATATTCTATTAGAATATTTCACATATTTTAAAAAAAACGGGATTTTTTTTTTATTTTTTTTAGTTAATTCAAGTTCCGAAAATAATATTTAAAATTTTTCTTTTTTAGATTTTTCCATTTATTTTTCATTTTAAAATTATTTTTTAGAATATGTACATTGTAATATTCTATTAGAATATTTCACGTATTTTTCAAAAAAAAAAATGGGATTTTTTTATTTTATTTTTATTTTTTTTAAGTTAATTCAAGTTCCGAAAATAATATTTAAAAAAAGAATTTTTAGATTTTTCCATTTATTTTGCATTTTAAAATTATTTTTTACAATATGTCAGTGTAATATTCTATTAGAATATTTCACGTATTTTTCAAAAAAAAAAAAAATGGGATTTTATTTATTTATTTATAGTTAATTCAAGTTCTGAAAATAATACGTAAAAAAAGAATTTTGAGTTTTT